CCTAAGCTACGCAAAACGTATTAATAATCGAATTAACTATTAATATAAATTATGTTTTCCGAGGACTATGAAAAAGGTCCTCGGAAGGTGTGTATGTCCTCGGAAGTAGGTATATATCTGTATTTTTGTCCTCGCAACATATAGCAATCCAAATACACACACACACACACACCCACACACCCACACACACACACACACACCCACACGCGCGCACACACACACACCCACCCACACACACACACACACATACAGACACACTAACTGCAAAGACTCCCTTTTTGTGCTTCGCACACGGGAGTCAAAAATAACCTAAATATCGAGGTATTTAATATATTTATTTCATATATATATACACGGCTGTGAAAATGAGTATTGAAAAGGAGGTTTCAAATCGAAGATAGTATGCCCGGGTGGTGTAGAATCCTCTTAGACGACATTAACGTTTAGTCCTTTTTTTACCGATTCACAACATACATTAGTTACCTGTAGCCCAGCTACTCATAAGTGACAATATTTTTGTGAGGTCATCAGTACATTTCTTTTTAATATTTTATCACAATCAAAGATGGCCGCCGCCAAATTACCAACACACCTTTCAAACTTTTTGACATTTTAGTGGTCTAAACACATTTCAAAAATCAAAATATTTTAATCTGACCCGAATTCCGTCCAACCCAAGAAAAAAAGGAGCTTATAAAACAAAAACATGAATTTACCGGAAACTATGGAAATCGGAAGTTGGTTAGTGTAGTTCCAAAAGTCGGATTTAATTTGACTAGTATTTGCTGTGAAGAATAGAATACACCTTTCAATAAATCGCCGACAAGGCAAGGAAATTAAACATACTGTGGTCTTCGTGTAGCATTTGTACGACTTTGACGTCATGAATATCGGTAAACAACTTATTTCATTAGATCAGAATCAGGACGATACCATTATTTCTGTGGTCGGGAGGCTAGTGTCATTAGAACAGAAACACTAAACATTCGAAGAGTAAAACAACCAGATAAATGGAAGAATGTTTATGAGGAAGCTTCAAGATCAGCATACAAGTTTTTTTTTTTTTTCTAAGTAAAGAAAAACTAATCTTAATTCAAACAGAGGCACCTACCATCAGAAAGTGCACCCTTAACTCAGTGCTTATTTAACTCGGTGACATTTTTTATCATCCTGGTTCGTGTCGGACATTGCTCCAACCAATCGAACGATCAACGTGACATTTATTTGAAAAAATAACGTATATAATGTATGCGTGTTAGGAACATAAACAATTGTGTATCGACATAGACGAATGTTTCAAACTGTTTCAAACGCACTGAATGATCAAGATTAGTCTGTTATAAAGTAGGTCAGCGTCTGTATTATTCTTTTAAATCGGTTATATTACTAAAACATTAATTAAAAATACAAATAATAACATTACAATTACGTGTACATTTGTCCAGACGTGTCAATTGTGTGAGAACTTTCTAGTTTGTGTTTGGAATATATACATGTGTATTCACTGATGTAATACTGGTATGTGATTAAGTGTGATGAAAATACTGGAATGGAGCCATTCTGAGTACACTCATTAATGGTCTGGCAGTATTTGCGTTCTAGGGGATAGTTCGCCATAACAGTCCTCGTAGACCAGATACTTGTATATGTATACAATTAAGTTACAAGTCACAACAAATGATATCGTTTATACCTGGTAATCATACATTATTATATACACGTGTTAATACACACACATGTAGTATTGTTTATTTTAGTAAGTATTGTTGTGCCAGCTGCTCTAGTAGTTATATTGTAATTGAATAATCGAAATTTCTAACAATAGTTTTTGTTTTAATTTTAGCCGTCAACAAACCATATACTATTCAAATTATTGCTGACAATTTAGGTAAGTAAATTGAAATCTGATGAAACAGCATACAAAAAAACATTTACCACAAAATTTAAAGAGCCTAGCATCAAATCTAAAAATGTACCAGTCTAGAGTTATCTGTTTTACGTGCGTAAAAATTCTGAGTGCTTTGCTCAAGTGGTCTCCCATGCAAGTACTTGCACGGCAAAAGAAGCAGGACATTCCGTACTTGCCGTTCACATGATCACTCCGATGGGAGTATGCTTAATTTGAATGTGATTGGTGGCCATTTAAAGTTCGGAAACGATTCAAAATTGATATTGATCGCACCTACAGGTTTCGGGTTGGACCTATGACTTCTACATGTTTCGGACAACAGTTCGACGATTTGAGGGTCGGTTACCGGGCTTTTCATCGCTTTTTCGAACTTTCCACAACGGGTTTCGAAATGACAACCACTTAAGTCAAATTTCGAAACAAATCAGTCTAGCGACTTTGCAATCGCTTTGCACAATTTTTACGCTATTTCTTGACATCATACGTTCAGTTCTCATGGCAGTCTGTTATTATAAGACTTTCGCTCGATATTTGAGTATTTATTTTTAATTTTTAACTTCTGGTTAGATACAGCAAACATTTAGAAATTTCCAGTCAAATATTCCAACTTTTCAAGCGCTTTTCACAACTTTGTAAGCTATTTCTTTACAATATATGTTTAGCTCGTATTAGAGTCTTGTTATACTTATCAAGCTTTCATTCGACTTTTGATTAATTTGTCTTACTTCGGGGTTCGGCAGGAGAACCACTTATGTGAAATTTTCAAACAAATCTACAAACTATCCTAACGCTTTACAACTTTGTACGACCTTTTCAACAGATTAGAGTCGACTACAGTGAACACTATTTTATTGAAACATTAAATGCAATTTTAATCCCTTTTCCGCAAAAACGTTCGTCATCACATTCACAAAGAACACACAATAAACTGAAATATGTAATTTCAACATGTGTGACAAAATTGAAAAAAAAATAAGTATTTTCACTCAGTGATATGCCCAGGTGGTCTCCAGCTTTTCAATCTCAAAGGAGAGAGTAAACGTATGAGTTTTTGAGAATGTAAACATAAGTAACGCAGTGTCATCAACAGCATTGTTTGCTCAATTTAAGATGATTGGTTATTGATGTATTTCGTGAAGGAATGAACGCAACGTTTAGGTGTACATGAAGACTCTCTTTATTTCACACCCCTTATTGTGTGCGTAATGTGTACTACCATGAACCAATCAATGTTGGTTTATTTTAAAATATTTTATATTTCTTTGAAATATGATTCTCTTGAGACGAACAATGTCGCTAATAAATACCTGAATGTGATTATAGAACTATCCAAACTTCTAAATGAATAACGTGAAACTACCTGGACCTACTATCCATCGTTCTATCGAAACTGTTACCAAGACAACACCGATGGCTGGCGGTCCCCTGGACGGTGTGCTTTGTAAGCGCCCTCTTTCGCCGAGTTGTGCACTGGAGATTGTTTCGTGTCACATTATTTTTGAAATGATAATGTAATAGATTTGTTGAAATATGATGAAATAAACCATGATTTAAATGTTATATGGCTTTAGCTTACATAGTACATGTGCTGTTAAAATGTGAAACTTGTCCAGAATTTATCAACTGCCATTAGCCATTTATTAAAGCGCGGTGGTCGTCGCGCAGCGCGTGTTCGAATTTCATGTAAATAAACAATGTATTTCACACGCGTTGTATACGTCGCTATGAGTCCCATATCGAACAGGACACGGCGCGACGACTGCCGCCCTTTAAATTGTGGCCATTAGTAACCATAGCTCTGACCTTTCAACCAATGACCCCTTGGTCTTATCGCGAGGGATTTCCAAGTAAGTGTTTGACAGAGCATCAAGCAATAGACAGAAATACTAAAATAATCTAAAACAGAGATGACAGTATTAAGCAACAAATACGCCACTCTCAATATGTCAACGGTTCATCTATGAGGGCTCTTTGTTATTTCAAGTTTCCATTATGATCTGTTTATAGTGTAATATGTGGGGTGGGGGCTTGCAATTATTATAAAAAAAATTGAGAAACAACAATTATAGAGTAAAGAATGTGGTATGATAAGAGCATCACATTGTTTAATTAATCTATTAATTAATTCGTGAATGTGTGCAATAGCCTGAAAGGTCATCCAATGTTGATAAGGCACTCATATGAAAGTACGTTTTTTATTTTAAATTTCGTTAAGCAAAAACAAATACAAGATAAACAAGTACAAAATATCATCCTTAAAACCCAAATTTATTATCACATTACCATGGTGCATATAATTCACAGTAGTGACGTCACTGCGATACATCACAATTCCATGTATATAGAAGAACTCCGCACCGACTTCTATTCTCACCTTGCTTTGTCACATCACTGTGATTGTCGGGTCAAAGTTTATTACGTAATGTCTAGTGACGTCAGTTGATACCTGTGATCAAATATAGTGATACCATTGATGTATATGAATGCATTGTTTTTATTTTCTAAATAACGGCGGAATTGGGACAGACGGCATATACAATGCGCAAGTCAGTCATCCACAGTCTAGAACTCAAACTCATTTCATGATAATTGTTTTCATTCATTTAAAGACGACATGAATTGGTCCATCTGCGGCAGCGGTACTTGGTGAACCACGCTCATGCTTCGCTCACGTGGCCGTGGCACCTCTGGCGTCAGCCCTCTGATTTGTGCGGAACTTTTGGAGCGCACGAACAGTTTTGGCGAAGACGTTCTCTTCGTCAAGTGTTTCATATCATGATATACTTTAAGGAAAGCGTATTTGACGTCATCGTAAGATTCCCGAACTGAAATTTCGAGAAAGGAACAGTTTAAGGATTTTGCCAGTTTTTCGCCTTCTTCTTTCGACACCATCCGGTCAAAGGTCAAGTCGATTTTATTTCCGACGATGAGCACAGCTACTTCCCTGTCTTTTGTTTTATTGATGATAAATTTCAGTCTCATAACTTCGTCAAAACTACATCTATCGGTAACCGAGTATACGATAATGAAAGCATCTGCCCATTTTATCTGCGACTGCGTCAAATAATTCTCGGCCTATGTGAAAAAAAAATAGTCATTTGAATTATTCATATCTATTTGTTTATGATTTATCTGTCGTGGATAGACAATGAATTTGTAACAAAGTCTTGTACCGTTCAATATCCGAATATTTACAGAGAATAAACAATATTTTTTGCACGTCCAGGCTCGAAGATAAACCGTCAAGAAGACGGTCACGTAAGTTATATGAAGCCTTTTGACTGTAATGTCGCTTAAACCCCAAGAGAGGATAAATTCGTAATGTTACCGGAGATGTAGTTCAAGATCCGTATCGCATGATAACAAAAATGAAAAAGCGATAGAATTTGAACTGAAAGAAGCTTTCTGCTGTCACTTATATGTAACTATATACCTTATCGCAATTCAGAATTATAGTGCATTATGGGATTGCTGTGCCTGAATCGAACAGTGACCGAACACAACTCCGCCAATTACAAAGCGCACCCGCTCGTGCAACCTGGATATGGTCTATAATAGTTGATATGATGATGGAAGAGAATGGAGCATTCTCTGAGAGAATATGAACATCATCTCAACGACCTTTTGCGTCCAGGATCTGATCGCAAGTGTGGTCACTTATATTTAGTTACCTGTCCTGCTGTATCCAGGATTTCGAAGTCCACAGGTCCCGGGTCACCATCTACAAATGTTCTGAACTGGTGTGTCGTCTCTGCAAATAGAAGAAAAAATTGTTAATTAATTTTATTTTATAAATATCACAGGAACTGTAGAAAACGAATACACAATCAAATATACACCACTGACGGCGTCCTTGTGAGTGCGTGTGTGTGTATCTGGTGGATTTGAGGTCGCAATAGACAATTGCCACAATTTCATCAAATTACAATCCACAAGACTGGACACTGGACTCCGTATTTAATCTATTGATAAACATAAAAGAATACGGCTCTGACAAACGGCGCACAATTGTTTTTTTTTTGCGAAATTGTATCCGCAATTGCAATTCCAGCGAGGACAGCTGAAGTTGAAAACAAATACCGTTGATGGCAGCATACACAAACTGTAGTAAATACAATACAACTGAAGAAATAAGAAGATTTAAATGATGATTGTGTGAATAGTGAATACGTAAGTAGGTTATGTCGTGAATATTCTGCTCAACCATGCAAGTCTGTTCCCAATACTATACAATCAACAGGTATTCAAGCTTAGGGATTTGGGAAAATGCTGTATTACATCTCAAATTTGCAACTTAAAAGATTGTGTCTTTATCCACATTTCGATAACGATTCTAACTCACTATTGAAATTGTGTCGAAATTGAGTCTTACAATAACAATCGTAAACACTGCGCTTTATGATTTTGCAAAATCAATACGAGTGTTGACGTCACGTGACTCCATTAACGTGAATGTGAGTCTGTGAAAAGAAAGAATGTTTTTGATGTATTGTACGTACCTAGGGTAGGGTCGTATTCCCCGATGAATCTTCTCGTCATGAAGCGAACGCATAAGGCTATATGAATAGAATGTATTACTTGTTAAATAAGGCAGGCAAAGTGAGTTTTGGAGCATACGTGATTAAATACTGCGCCTTGATGAAATCAACATGGTGTGGTTTATCGTAACAACCTGGAAAAACAACACTAAACCAATAGTTTTTGTCATTGTGTCGATGGTGTGATATGAAAAAATAGTGTGACGTCACATTTAATTGCGATGCCGGTTGGCATCCGAGTCGCACGGTTGTGCTAAGCAAGCCTATGATGGAAACTATAGCTTTTCTGTTTCGCTAAAATACTAATATCCGAAGATAACATTTTGAAGGATATCAAATGTATTATAAATTACTAAAATTCTACCACAAAGGCCGCCATAAAAATAGCTATAAACCCACAGCTATGCGTACAGAGCATATAATAATTCAAAGCACATGCGCATTGGCGTTTTCATTATTGCATAGAACAAAGGAGCGTTATATTCTACGGTAAATTGCGCCATAATGTTCATTGAAGAATATCAGACATTATTTAAAGATGGTCAACAATTCACAATTTAACGTTATCTCAGTAGCGCTGTCGTTCTGTCAGGTTGAATAATAAATCGGGGTCGATGCGGAGTGCGCTTCATCGATGCTCGATGTCACGTCACACTTGGCTTATCAGTTGAAGTAGAAGTGTCGTCACCTGCGCACGCGCGAGATTTGAGTCCCAAGCGATGATAACAACACACTTTAACAATGCAAAGACTCATGGGTACCGCTTGTTTGTAAACAATAACACGCCATGGCCTGACGCATGCGTAGGAGACAACTCTCCCGCTTTAATATTATTGTTATTGCGTGTACACATAGTTAAACGGTCCCAGTAAGCTGTAGAATTACAAAACACGATGCGTATACGTCTGTAGTCTGTAAACTTGGTTGATTCCCTCAAACATTACGCGCGTAACCTATGACCTCCCAAGAGATGCTATCAATTACTAGTATGATATCTTCCACGTCATGACCTCCCGAGTATAAGTCAATGTTGATCACAGGAAATGCATTAGCCATTAACAAAATACATCACCTCATAATTATGAATCATACAGATCAATTCAATTTAAAACTTGAAATATTTACAGTTCTTATTATGGTACGGTGAAGTAAACACTTCAATTCAGAATACGACTGTCGTGACGCAATGCGAACGTACTTTGAAAGAGATACTAATCAGGAGCGGAAATCGGAATGAGTCATTCGATAATTATACAAATCTCGGGTATTTATGAAATAATACTATTTGATATTGCATATTGATATTATACAGATGTTCTCCCAAGCAGAAAGGTGGCATATATTTTTTTTCTGAATAGCTAGGAGTTTTGGCGATTGCTAAAACCATATGCCCACCTATGTTGTGATTGAACATTTGTAATAATGTACCGAGTAAATCTTGAAAACAAAATGTGGTGTTCAAAACTGTATGGCACCGCTCAAATGGAACCCAGATGAATTGTATCGTAGAAATATAACACAAAATAATTCATCTAGAAATGAGAGAATATTTCAGCAAGTATTAGTTTAACCTTGCGAAGAAATCTGTTTTATACCACTGGGGCGCCACCCTATACATGAACGGTGTCCAAGTCGATACACTGAACTGCGTATTCACGGAAGGTCGAATTCTCCTCGGTTCGTACAAACCAAATCAACTAGCATTGTTCGGCTAATGAAAAATTAGTTTTATCATAATTCAACGTTTTTTATCAACAGGTAGTATCAAACGGTATTAATCAACTTTATACATTACATTTTTAAATGACGCTACAAAATAAGGCTTACCTGTTTTTCCGACTGCCGATTGTCCCAATACTGTAATCTTTACGGGTTTTCCGTGGTTAGTGCTTTTTTTATGTTTACCGAACTGGAAAGTGGTCATTGTTGGCATCTTGAAGGAGCGAGTTCGCTGCCTTTTCGTTGATTGAATGTAGAATCCCTCTTACGTGATTTCGATCGTGTTCTGAAAAAAATGTATTATTTAGTTGAGAAAATAAACTAAACCACGGTGTATGGATGCTAGCACATGGATGAATTATTTGAGGCATTTAAGTTTATATTTTTTAAACTATTTTGAAGTTTGAATCAGTTCGATATAGTGATTACGAACCTGATAATCTTTGCGTTATGATATCAGACCTACACACTTTCAAACTATTACTAACAACAAATAAATATATTATAGTATTATATATACTAATGTAAAACTGGATTTCGTAATGGCCAATTGCCGGCGGAACCCTAACCTTTTTATTTGAGAATAATAATATTCTTTAATACAGAACCCTTTTTTTGGTTTTCGCGCAGTTATTTGACTGAAACAGATATGTCACATTGAATTGTATTGCTCTAATCACGGAGGTCACGGTAAAAAAGAAGGAGCAGTGACAGAAAATAAGGCTATTAACTTCAATTGTTTATTGCTAAGTTAAAGGCCCAGGTATACTATAAATATGCTCCTAAACAATAGGGATTATTGCCTTGCATGTCACGCTGTAGTAAACAGCTCCAGCCAAGCTCCGGTAAAAACGCGTTTTCTCGAACTTACAGATCGATTATGTCGCGCCAAAGTGGATATATGTAACTATGAATATCACAGCAGTGACTGTGTGTAGTATTTATGACAATAAAAAGTGTACGAGATGAGATTTTGGCGATAAAAGTCAAAAACACGAACCGGAGAAAGGGACGCGCTCCTAATCTTGAGTAATTAACTACTGTCAATCAAAGTCAAGTGATGTTGAACCGCTGAAACAGGATGCGTCATAGGCTATGCAAGTGATTAACAACACTCATTAGCATAGCCCCACCTCCAATTCACACTTACCCGGGGCAAGTGAATTGGGTCTTTAAGCTCATAATTTCTTTGTACTCCTGGTGTTTGAACTCGATGGTAGTTGCCGTTTGTTTAAACTAGTGTACTGGCCGTAATATTTAGATTACACAGACACAATTTTCCGATGAAATATTAAACCAATTGCGCAGACCATAAATAAGGTATGTACTCATGCGTTGAGAACAAGAAGTCATCTTTCACACTACACACAGCTGCAGTTGGACATTTAATTCCGTTTGTAGTTGAAGATTGACTATATTTATTTTTATACTCCCTGGTGAGCCGGCTTTTGAAACACTTCATGATCCACAGAATTCCGCAAAAATATTTAACTTTTTATAGAATCTTTGCATCCTCGGCTTTTGAAAACCACTATCAAATCTGGCGAGCGGTTGTCAAAAATCGCGATTATTGGTGCGATGGTATACTAGTAGTTTTTGCTGTCAACCATATACACTCGTAACAAAACTATTACACTGTGCAGTCGTTGTCGGCAGAGACAATCGTGCTTTCTGTTCCTTTGCTACCAGATATTCAAAATGACTGCTAAAAAATTGCTAGTTTATGTTCAACTAATGCCAAGTCTGCCGATTCTTCCGCAGAAAAATCTTCAACTATAACGAATTTGTTTACGGGAACCCAATTACTCGGTTTTGTACATGCGAAGTTTATTCGAATAATTTTCGAAATACATGTACTCCGAATCGCGCAATCAGATAAACAGAGAACAGGAAAACAGATACCACATTGTTTGCTTGGCTAACAATCGCCAAATATAACAGTACACAAAGGAAACAATATGTGTCTTCTCAATGCTTTGACTCCTCAACAACACGCATTTACGTCTCTGTCATCAACAAACCGACAACTATTTATTACAGCGAATTTCTTATTTTTGAATAACACCACAATAAATGCATATGTGATCAACATTCAAGATCATCACAACCTTTCAACAAAACAAACTTTCGAGATATTCAACGTTCGACGAAATAGTAATGGACTTTTGACGAAATGGTCTTCCGGCGCAATGGGTCAATTCACATATCTATACTGGTGCAAATC